TCTTCCTCGGCCCTGGCGTACTTCTCGATTCTCGCCCATGCTTTTTGGCAATGTTTTTGCCAAAGACTTCCATAGTGGGCAGTTGTCTTTTAGGTCGTTTTTGAAAGACACGACCGCCACTTCTTGATTGCATTCGGGTATTCGATTGAACACCTCGTAGTACCTTTTTGCATAGGCCCTAAGGCCTTCATTCTTGGTAATCCGTAAAGCCATCAAAGCGTCATGCCCTAAAATTTTCTAAATGACTATTTTGCTCTTTTTCCTATCATTTCTACTTTCTATCACTATGACTATATTTTACAATTTTCCATCATTAAATTTTTACGTGCAAATATTCTTGTTGAGTGATGATATACAAACATAAATTTTGTATAACATTCTCAAACACAATGATATAGTTTAATGATGATCTTTCACTTTAAAACAAAACACCCATAAACATGATTTATATTTACAACATTACTATCACAATATTTTTATGTATAAATTTTTATATTTGAATAGAATTTTTTATTTTTATTTTCATCATCATTTTTCTTTCTCATCTATTCACCCATATATATTACAGTATTATCAAGCATCGTCATTCACATTTATTACAGTATTACTGAATTTTTGTATTGTTGTATTTTTTTCATTTTTTTTTTATATTTGATGAATTAAAAAGAAAAGTCACAAAATATTATACTTCTTAAGTATATCTAAATTAGGTGTATCTAAAAAATAAAAAATTATTTAAAATATTAAAAAAAATCAGTAAAAATAATAAAACACGAAAAATAAAAATAAAAATAAAAATAAAAACTCAAATTTTTGTGTGAGTTAAATAAAAAAAAATGATTGTTATTTCCCTTGAAATGACATGAACAAAATATCTATATTATTTTATTATTTAATATGTATAAAGGTTAAGGAATAAATATGTTATTTTAATCAAACATGCAATAAGTGTAATTTTTTAAATGTGAAGGAGAATCTATATTAAAAAGAAACATTAGGGGGAGTTAACCTTTTTTTTTATTAGACATTTGATCAACCTAAAGTTTTGCAAAGTTCAAGACATGTTAAGGTTGGATTGATTTCAAGTAGCAGACAGTTTCTGCAGCCATGAACTTCCATGATCTACAAGTAATACTATAGAAATGTTCTCAAGTTTATTTGTTAGCACCAATCTTCTGATCATTGTGTGTAGTAAAATGTAGCCCACGGCCACTGAGAGATGGTCTACGGGACCTCTCCCTCCCCTCAGGAAAAGAAACAGCGAAAACCGAGCCTGGTTCGCAAACCGAGGCAAAGCACAAAAGAGGGTTCGGAAGTCCGGAGGCAGGGCTCACGGGCGCGACTCTGAAACTTCTGAACGAGCACATTATGTAATATCACCAAGTGCTCAACTAGCGACGTCTGAGTCTTAAGGTCGGTCAAAAATGGGGTGTCTACAGTGAGTTTGGTTGGACTGGTTGGGTGATACCCAATCAGTCCAACCAAACTCACTCACCTTATCAAACTATACAAGTTCAGTTAGTGCGTGATGTCTAGTTTTGCAGTATACTTCTTCACATAACCACTTTTGCAAAGAAAGGCAATTTATTTATTTATTTTTTATTTTTTTTTAAAAAAAGACCAGACTAACACAGCCACAAAAAGAAAAAAAAATATATTAAAATTAAAATGGTATTCGCGGCCTCAAGCATTATTGATATTAGCAGGATTATTCTTGTTTCGTATTCCTGTTTAGGATTAGGTGTACAATTGCTATATATATATATATATTAGATATATACATGTTAGATGTACATATTGTATTGATACACAACCATTTATATACAGAGAACATTCAACGGAATGTAGCTTAGGAGAATATTCAAATCAAACCCAACTAGAAAAACAAATTAGGAAGAGACAACTGTGTCAGATCAAAAACTATTTCATGATAGCATTGCTTACCTACATAAGCTTTGTTCAACCTATGATTGTACGTAAAGAATGAAACATTTGTAGCAGTTGAAGGAGTTCTTATCATACCCACAATGTTTTCAACTTTTTAAGTGCCACTAAAATGCAATTCTGTGGAGAATCAAACACTGAACCCTAGAACAGAACTACATCGACCATTGCGAACCAAAGTCTGAATTATGCTTGAAGACATCAATTTGGAGACATGTTCTTCAAGATGTTTTTTGGCATCCTGTCTTCCCACATTCGCAATTGCTAGTTTTTCTGGTGGCAACTCATCCTCTTCCTGCATTGCCTTGTTATATTTAATAGCAAGGTTTAGCATCTCCTGAACAATTTGCTCATTGGTCTTGGAATGGGTATCAAATCGTGGTGGACTTTAACAACCTGCTGTAAATATTGTGAATGAGTTTAAATGAAAAGAGTAGAATTATTTGGGTTTGGATTATCATTCTAGTAGGGGGTACGTTGGGTTAGAATACTATGGTAGAATGGTTAGTATGAAGATCCTCCCTGGTGGGATTCATATGGGTCAGCTTGAATCTATCAAGTCCTTTCCCGATACATCGAAGAAAGTTTGCGAATTGAAGGAAAGCTTTGAGGGGTAAATTGTGGTGTTGGGTGTGCATGATATGGATATGTTTAAGGGTATTACTTTGAAGTTCTTACCAATGTGATATCTCTTAGAAGAACACCCTGAATAAAAATACAATGACAACCTCTCAATGGCAATTACATCACAAATTGAAACTATATAATCTTGAACACAATATTTGTTACTTAAAAGGATGTCACTTTCATGAATTAATTGGATGAGAAAAAATTTAATTTAACTCTTTTGACTTAACTTTTTCAACAATGCTACATGCACCAAAAAAATATAAAAATATATAAAAAAAAAATCAATATGTATCTCAATTTTATGTTTAATTTAGTTCCTTCTACACCTAGAATAAATCTACGTCATACATTGATCTTTCTCTATGTATTTCTTTCTATACACGTAAGATCACTCTTCACTTGTCAGGCTTTGATCTTCTAACTTTATGATTTTAATTTTCAATATATTTCAAAACCTACTAATGACACCCAACATCTTTTTATCTTTAAAATTTTCAATTTCTCTATTGAAAAACATTCACAGTTGTTAAATTTTGGCTCCAAATATTCATACCTTCACATTCGTATATAATTCAATGACTATAAAATATTACGAGACATGAGAATTTAAAATTTGAGGGCTAACATTGCCCCCCCCCCAACCGCTAATGTATATTTTCAAATATTGAATAAGATGAATAAAAGCAACTGCTGTACTATGAACTTTTCAAACACAAATTCAAACATTGCAAGGCTACGCTTAACATTTTTGAAATTATAATCCGAAGATGAAAAACTTATCAAAAGAAGGGGAAAAAAACAAATAACCAAAAGGAGAATCTAGAAATTAAAATGACCTCCCATGTCAAACTTGCTAATTGATACAACAAAGTTAACATTTGTAGAGAAAGAAACAGTTTAGTTTGTAGAGATAGAAAGTGAATGGGAGCAACCCAAAAGGCAGAACAGTGATCTGTTTGTCTTGTCTTCTCTTCTCCTCTTCAACCCCCACTGCTCACTCTCCTTACACTCCTCCTCTGACCAGCACCTCCACTGCCACTTTGCCACTATCTTTTGCATACTGCCACAAAGAACAATAATAAACAGTCATGAAAAAACTAAAATCATCTACAACCCCTGCCCAGATCCTTACCATGCCAGGTGTAATATCCTCTTCAGTTGTCCCAAAGGGTACAACAGTGCTTTGAATTAGAAATTTATCCTTGCACTTCATATCAGATGGTGCTGATGGTTGAGCTTGCATAGTGACTACATTGGCCAAAGAAGTGGAATGTATAGTTGTTAAAGGTCAAAAGGTTTAAACTCGTACAATAACAAAACTGTAGTGTACAATAATCAGTAGGTACGTAACATTCTTAACAAAATAATAATAACAATGATGATATATGCCATTTGTGACTATAAGGTAATGGCTACTTTTAAGGGGACACCAGGCCTATTACCATCATGTTGCAGTCCCACAACCTTACAATTAGAGTTCATCATGACATTTAATGTCACCATACATGCAAGTTTTCTCTATTGTCATACATATACCATAGCTTCACTTCACAAGGAAGGCCATTTGTGATGGAAATCATGATATATAGTATGCCAGAAATTTAAAAGATGTGGACCATAAGTGAACATATAGATGTTCTTTCATTCAGTTTGGTTGATTGTTCCACATATACAAAATAGTGCATATCATTGCCTGTTGATTTCAAATTCTGCATTCCAAACGGTTTGTCACCTTTTTGGTACAGAGTCTTGTAATTTTTTTATAGTTGTTCCTTAATCGTAAATTTCAGACTCTCTTGGAACCTTCAAAAATGTAGACTATTGAATTCAAATGATTTCTGAAAGTTGGCCTGTTTAAGTGTTGAATGGATTCAAAATAGCATAATTAAAAATCAAAATAGCTACTTTGCAACCATTGACATCTAATCCTATGCAATTTTTTATTTTTTCCCAGGTTGACAAGAATGCAATCAAGTTCAAAATGAAACCATTGGAGCACATGGACCTCATGCGAAGGGTGTACGAAGGCGCTACGGCAACCGAAAAATATGCATGGACACAAGGTGCAGCGTTCGAATCTATTGCAATGGATGACGGTTCTTCGCCGATGGATGAAGAAGATTGCAAGGATAGCAGCGGTTTGCCCCATTTCCAGCCTGCCGCACAGCGTGAAGACACTATCCACCACAGTTCTACGCCAGAGGATGTCAAGCCGACGACTGTACACACTGCGTTGTCGGAAATTAACGCTGATGACACACAAACAAGTGGCGGGAGCAAATGCAAATTTCTTTGCACAACACTCCCACAGTGAAAAAAATGACAGAGTGAGGGTGTAGATGTGCCCAAACGTCCCGATCCCGTGCGCGAATGGCGTGAAATCCATTTTGTTCATTAGCTACTACAGTTCGGACTCAATGTCACGGTTCTGAATCAAATCTCGCAAAGTGCAATGCAAGACCGATAAATCACCAAAGAGTCCAAATTCGGCAAATTGTTTTGGAAAACTGATTTTAATAAAGAAGTGTCAAACATGGACTGCTTTGCCAGATACAGAGTTGCCACCTAAATGTTTTTGTTTTGGGAAATTTAGGAAACCCTGACTCGTGCCTAAGGCCACCTGTCCGTCATCACCAAAGTTGTCTCGGCTCGGGAACTTGGGTACGAGAGGGGAAGGTCATGCAATGAGCACTCCCGCTCGCTCGATCAAAAAGATCGGCCTTTACTAAGCATGATATTTTGTTTTTGAAAACACATGTGTTCTTATTCCGGTTTATTAGCTAGCTTACTACGTGATGCGCACATCATATAAGTATAGACTAGATCGCCTAAGTTGGAACAAAACATCTCATGTTTGTTTGAAAATGGTTTGAAGGTGCTACTCGCAAGTAGGCTAAGACGTGGATTTTGCCATCCTCAAGTGGGCTTAGAAAACATGATTTTGCCACTCTCAAGTGGGCTTAAAACTCGCATTTCAATGAATTGTTCCAATTCAAGCAATCTAACCTTCACCCACAGGCATTCAAACAGTTAAGCACTTAAGCAAATAGCCTCATGGCAAGCATGCTGTCATGGCAATCAATAACACACATGCAGGGATGCTAAAGCATAAACACTTACAGTGTACTCCGAGCCAAAACAACAACTGGTTAGTAATCAATGCATGATCCTAGCTATGTTAAGATGCCTAATGCAACACATGCAAAAATGCAACTAAAATAGACTCGGCTATTCTAAGATGGCATATGAAATGCAACTTGATAACATGCTGTTGAACACGTATTGAAGTAAATGTATTGAAATATAATGCAGTTTGTATGATGCGCCGAGCGCGGTGCATGTATGACAGATGAATGAATGCAAACATGCAAGCATAAGGATGCTAATCAAAACATGACCTAGAACTAACCATCGTAAGTGGTTAAGTAAAAAGGAGAAAGACGTGGGGTTGGAAGACATTCACACACTCACGCACATTTATTACAAAATTCGCCCTCTCGACGGAGGATCCGAATGAATAATACAAGCTAGCTACGCTAAACTAAGTTATTCTAACTAATCTAATAATCTAATTAGACTAATTATTACATAATCAAATTGAATATTAGCTAAGCTAAGCTAATTAAGAATTTACAACGATAAATTAAATTAGCTAACACATTAACTAATTAATTACAAATTAACTAACTATACAAAGCAGTTAAAACGGCCTCGAGAAGAGGGGCATATGCATGCTCGATCGACTTCGCTCGAAAACCCGTTGCCATGCCTCATGTTGTCTCTGTTTGCACTATTCTGCACCTCTGAAAATTATGCCAACTTTTGTGATGCTTCTGACCTACCTCATGGACATTCTGAGAGGTCATCGGCCAAGAGAGGTGGCCATCAGCCAGTGGATAATGGTCATCGACCAATTTTGAGACTATCGGCCAAATATTTGTAGCCGATCGGCACACTAGATAGCCGATCGGGCATTTCTTCCTGCAAACTCCTCCTTTCGCTGCAGCAGAGTACAAACAGAGGCATGGCAATACATTTGCAAGAAAATGTTTGTACAACCACACTCCTTATCATGTTTGAAGCTCAAAGGAGTGTAGTGCTCGAATCTCGAGCCATCAATCATGCATTTCGATGCATGATGGCCAAAGAGGCCGAGTTGCACAAATCAATATGGATGAAATGCACAAAAACACATAAATGCCTTAACCTCTATCATGCATGATCAAGAGGGTCGGTGACCGAGAATTGAGGCACGTTTCATCACTTCAAGTATGAAACGTCCCTCGTTCCTCGTGCTTGGCTTAACACCCAAACCAAACACAATGCAATGCGTGCACTACTTAACAAAGCTAATGGCATGCAAACAATGCAATGCAACCTAAACATGTGAACAACATGGCATGCAACAAGTATGCAACAATGTTATGTAATGCAACTAGCATGCAACAACATGTAATGTACCAAGCATGGAACAACATGCAATGCGACAAGCATGCAACAACATGCAAAATGGACTTAAACTAAAATGGACAGATCTCAATCATGCCCAAATCAGTGGCCAAAACACCAAAACTAAGGCGCCAAAAGGAAAAACATGCATGCACACATATTGGTCCACAAGCTAGGCAACAAGAACACAATCCTTAGAGGCACTCAAAGGGTGATAAAAGTGGAAGTGTAACAACACTATAAGCTCTGAAATTAAGTATGGAATGATGCCAAATCAACCAAGCAAGACAAGTATGGCATGCAAGAAAGCTCAAAGCTTGCAACTAGTATAGGAACTTGTACCAAAGCCACATGAATCAAACCCCAAAGGGTCAAGGACAACCAAAACAGTCATAGATCATGCCAAAATGAGTCTAAAACATGCATGGGCCAAAGCTAAAACAAGGCAACATGAAGGGCATAAGGCATGATGCATGCAAGGCCAATAAAGAGGGTTACACTAACCTATAAAAATCAAAGTTATGGCATGTCAAAATAAGCCCAAAAATCCACTGAGATAGCATCCCAAAAGCTTAAGCAATAAGACTTGCATAATGGCTCATGTTCAAGGCTTAAAACACAAACCTCCCAATGCATAGAAAAGGTGACAAATGTGAGTGCATGACCACACTATATGGACTGAAATCACATATGAAATGATGCCAAATCATGAAAACGGTCTAAGCAATGCATGCTTGTGACTTGGACACTCAAAGCTAACAAGCTAGAATGCACTATGGCTATACAAAGCAATGCATGCATGACTAAAACAACATCAAACAAAGCTCAAGCATGGTAAAACATGAGGGAAAGCTTCTTTGAGTTGAGCCAAAATATGCCAGAATGATGATCCAAACACAAGATACACGTTAAGGCAGTAGAGAGGATTGCACTACAAGTGCATGGTGCATGCAAGAGGCTATCAAACCAACCTTAGATAGAGGTATATCATGCTGAAATAAGTCTAACACATGCTAAGATAGAGCCAAAACAAGCTTAACAAACATGTTACTTTTATGAGCCATCAATACAAGCATATGAGACATAAGGAGAGGGGATGACCCTCTCCTATTTGGGACTTCAAAACACCATTTTCACCACTGAAAATCCTCTGGATTTCAGTGGTTAGAAGGCCAAAACAAGGTGGTCCCAATAGCTTAAAAGGAAGGCACAAGAACAAGACCAAACAAGGCCTAAGAGGGGGTAGACAACCCCCAACACAAAAGTGACCTTAAACAAACATTACAAGCATGAAAAATCAAAACTTTTTACAGTAGAAAGTTAAGCTTAAATTAGCATGCAAATAGGTCCAAAAGTTTAAACCAAAACAAGGGTTTAAAGGCTAGTTGACTCATCCTTGAAGAACACCTTCAAGAACACAACTCCAGCACTCTTTTCTGACCAAAATCAGTCCAAAAACACTAACACCAGCTCTTAAGTACCTCAGTAACAAAAGGATGGTGTTCTAGTAGGTGCTTTAGTGCAAAAGTATGAAGAAAACACACTTGAGCACAAACTAGGGTAAATATGGAGAGAGAGGTAAAATATAGAGAGAGAATGATATATGTTTTGTATATCAACTTTTTAGAACTTTTGGAAAGGGAGAGGGGTCTCCCTTTTTATAGAAATTCAATTCTCAAGCTTGTTGAACAAGCTTGAGTCTTGATTCAATCCCTTCATACATGTGTATGGAGGATGAGATCTGTCCATATCAACTGTCACAGCTGGCACAAAAATATCTAAAAAAGAAGGTGG